TCATTACAGTACCAAAGTTTAAGAGAATTGATGAAGGAATCTACCTATTGAAGTTCAAATTCAGAGCTCTGAAACTTGACTTGGCTAGCACGATTTAGGAAGTCTTAGATCTTGGTTCTTCTTCTGTTAGCTTCAGTGAAGTTCAAGGATGGAGAATTTACAAAGAAAATGGATTGAAGAAAGCTGTAAAACCAAATTTGAAGTTGCAGAAAAATGGGTTGAAGAGAGAGTTTGGCAGGGTGATTCTGGCTATCTAAGCTTGATAAAATGAATGAGGTATGACCCTCTATTTATATGGAAGCTAATGGAATGCTTAAGCGTGTGAAATGATGAAGGTTGGATGGAAATCGTGTGAAGTTGCAAACATGAAAAGTGTGACTTCTATTTTGCTCAAAATTCAACCAAAACTTGAGTTTCAATATGCTAATCACTTATGGAAGATTGCTAAACATGATTAGAAGTAAAAACACACAGAAATTTTTTTAGAGGCCGAATCATGATTTTCAAATTCTGACTTTGGAAAAAACTTTAGTTTCAAGGTACCATCTTTGAATCAATGGTGTGAACTGTTTAGGGAACCTTAAGACTTGATTCTTGATGCATTGGAAAGATGAGATCACAAACTTTACAATGTGAAAAGAATGGAATCAAATGGATGCTTGAGCTGAAAGTTGTGATGAGTCAAAGTTGAGAAAAAGATGTTGACTTTTTGTACTTAGAAAAATTCTAAGTTTTTCTCCAAAAATGACCTATAATATCTTGCATCCAAACACGGCCTTTCGTTTAAAATTTGCCCTTGACCAAAAAATATGGCATGAATTAGATCTATTGAATGACATTTTGAGACTTGAACCATTTAAAAACTCTAAAAATTGAGAAAGTTATGACTTTGTGAAGTTGGTGAAAATTTATGAGATGACCTATAATCTTTTGCATCGTTGGGGCATCTTCGACATAAAATTTTCTTGAAACTTTTGAAGTGAGTTGTTGATAAACATTTAAAAAGAAGAATGTCTTTGGAATCACTCAGAAATACCAAAATATGAGCAAGATATAACCCTTAGAAGTTCAAAACTCCAGCTCCTAGAGCAATAAAATGCCTTGGAAACCCTTTTTAATTTTGACAAACTTTCTTGCACAAATAATTTTTTCATGTAAATAGAAATTGTTGAGGATGATAATGAGAAAACATAGAAACCATAACCACTTACAAATATTAAGAATTAAGGGAAATATGCACTTGTGATCAAGAAATCAAGGACTTATCCAATTAGGTCAAACTTCTTCAATCAACTCTTACATCTTTGAACTATCTTTGACAACTTGAGGCATGGTGAATCATAATAGACTTTGTCATGATATTACTTCGAAGAATCTTCAATGATGAAGCTTGGATCTCAATGAATCTTTGTTGAAGAAGGCACGAAAATAAACTCATGAACCTATAGACCAACTTGATGGAATGTGTTGTGCTTTCACCTATAATATCATCAATTAGGGCAAAGATTCATTGTATTTATTAGTTAAAAGTTAATCAATATAAAATATAGATGATCACAATATACAAGTCAAGGTTCTTGGTGATTCCCCATGAGCAAAGCTAAAGATAAGAAGAAAAACCAAACCCTAGTGTGATCTTGTTGTGATTGAGTTGATATGAGATGATAGAGAGATCTTAGGGGGAAAATTGGGGTACAACAGCTTCCCTTATCTAAGTGTCTTCTATCCAGAGATACGAAGGTCAAAATCTTCGTATCGACGTGATTGAAGATACTTAAATATAAAACAAGCCCTATTTTTGACCCTAAGATGCCTTGAAATGTTTATGATTGTGCATGCAAATGAACATATCCAAGGGTGATACAATACACCACTGGGGATATAGAAAATAAAAGATCAAAAGAAGATTAGACCAGGAAAATAAATCACTGGTAAATAAAAGACTCTACTCTATTGGGGTAAAGCCTGAGGAGGAGACAAAATAACATCAACTCAGACATCGAGGAGAAAAAATAAAGGATAACAATGATTAACAGATAACCGCAAACTATCCACTCTCAGAGAAGATAGCAAAAAAAGGTAATGTCGACCCTCTGGGGGGAAAAGGTGGTAGGATAATACCAGAAAACATCAACATTAGGGGTGGTAAAAAATGATAGGCATCAATACTTATGACTGGAAATAGACAAAATTCTTCAGAGTAATGTGAATCTCAACGACGAACTATCTCCTGCAATGACGAGACTACCATTCATTGGAGTAACAAATCTCAACAACAAACTATCTCCCATAATGAAGAGACTACCATTCATTGGAAAAAGATCTCAACAACGAACTATCTCCCATAATGATGAGACTACCATTCATTAGAGTAACAAATCTCAATAACAAACTATCTTCCATAATGACGAGACTACCATTCATTTGAGTAACAAATCTCAACAACAAACTATCTCCCATAATGACGAGACTACTATTCATTGGAGTAATAAATCTCAACAACAAACTATCTCTCATAATGAAGAGACTACCATTCATCGGTGCAACAAGTCTCAACAACGAACTATCTCCCATAATGACGAGACTACCATTCATTGGAGTAACAAATCTTAACAATGAAATATCTCTCATAATGACGAGACTACCATTCATTGGAGTAATAAATCTCATCAATGAACTATCTCCCATAATGACGAGACTATCATTCATTGGAGTAACAAATCTCAACAACAAATTATCTCTCATAATGACGAGACTACCATTCATTAGAGTAACAAATCTCAACAATGAGTTATCTCCTATAATGACGAGACTACTATTTATTGGAGTAATAAATCTCAACAATGAACTATCTTCTATAATGACGAGACTATCATTCACTGGAGTAAACTATCTCCCATAATGACGAGACTACCATTCATTGGAGTAACAAATCATGAATCTTCTCAGGGAACTAACAGACTCGCTAGGGAGGTACAATTTACTCAAATAAAGAGACCGCCACTTGCTGTTATGAAAAGGAGTTGTAATAATGACCTCTTGGGGAAAGAAACGGGACTTCTTGGGAGAATGCCAATATATTCCTGCTGAGGAACTAAAGTCTTCACGTGCAAAATAAATACATTCTCAAATTAGGGCTCAAAGCTTGCAGAAATCAAAATAATAATGTTGTTGGGGACCACAAATTCAAACCACACACCAACATTTTCTTGAAATATTTTCAAAGTCAACACTTTGTATGCATTCTTATAGAGACGAGAATCATTAAAAAGTATACCCAACGACGACACTTTTCAAAATATTTTCAAACAAACACATTCACGCAAAGCATTTTCAAAGTGAGCTAGCAATTAAGAGCCCGTAGATAACTACGGGTGAAAATGGTGCTAACACCTTCCCTTTTCATAACCTACCCCCGAATTCAAGAAAATTCTCAAAAGGTCTTTCCTGTTTTTTTCACTCTTTTCTTTATTGGATAAAAGAAAAGTCGGTGGCGACTCTTGTTATCCGCGACAATTACGATAAAACTCAAAACACCCAAGTCAGTTCTCCCACCGTATCACAGTTTCCACTGATAAATTGGTGCTTTGGTTGTAGTTGTTGATCAATGTTGGTTATGTTGGCCAGAATTATTTTCGGATCAGCTCCAACAATGATATATCTAAAGCTTTGCAATCACATATTTGAGGTTAAACTATCAATTGTCTTCCCTTAAAACTCATCAATAAAGATAACATGTCCATCTGCCAAGACGATGACTCCGCCTTCTTCAAACAATGAAATCGTTAATAAACAAAGAGTTGAGCACAAATGTGGAACCACACTTTTAATATTATCTATCATATTATGTAAATTAAATATGGAAATGTGATGATATATATACCAAGGTATGCATGCACAACTTGCATATAAGTATGGTTTCTTTTTCCAACAACTGAATCTGAATCTGGATATCTATAACAATCAACCATAAGATTGTATGTATAAATAGAAATAGATGAAAATATGATCATAAATGTGATGCCAAGTATACATCCAAGTTCATAACAGTTATGAACTTGACACTCGATTCACACTCTTTCTTGATTCACGATTTCGAATTTATATTTAAAGAAAACTTATAATTTCAAAGAGAGAAAAATGAAGCTACCATTTTGATTTTCGTCGGCAGTTCTATATTGTACAACAGTTGTGTCCGACATGGTGAATGGTGGAAGTCCGGTATAAAGTGTTGCAGTCCTGCGAGGGTGAGACGCAGTGGCTTGATGGCGTTCAGTGGTGGTGGGATGCAGATTGGAGTTGTCGAATGATGATGATGCGAGCAGTATGTTCCTGTGAGGACAAAAGGTAGGAGACAGCGTTCCGTAAATATAAAAATTTATATAATTTGAAGTAATATTATTCTACATCTCAATATTTTTTACATTTTCACTAGCACCGACTATATTATTACTCTTTTATGTAATGGTTTTTCATAAACTTTTTTAAAATTATGAAAACTATAAAAATGAAATTATGAATTATGAAATAACTATAAACATGAAAATCTACGTGCAGAACATCTTAATCTAGTTATAAATAATTCCAGAGACAGTCAAAATCTATTTGAAAACATATCAATCAATTTAAAGTCTTCATACACATTTGACTCTCTTAATAGTGAATCTAATCATGTACTGTATTCGATTTAATCATGCAAGGTTGCATGCATAATATTAGTCTCCTATAGCGATTGGATCAATGTGAGTTACACGATAAACATTTGATTCTACTCCAAAACGTTAAGTGAATGTAAACTTTTTCTACGCCTTGGCTGGTTGCCCGCAATGGCTCTGTGGGTTGGTATGATAGACCCAAAAATCTTAAAGAAGTCATACATGAAAACTCCCTGAAATCATGAATGTAATCAAGACTGAACTTGCAGATAAATAGTAAATTTTTAATGAAAAACAATTGTGTATCACACAATGATAAAAATAAATAATAAAGTCAAAGGTAGGCTAGTAAGGGTGGTATCTTCGCCCATGACCATTATCATTGCTGTGCCTTCCCTTACTTGAACTGCCCGTATTCCTGCTGCCACTCCCACCACTACTTCCGCCGCCTCCACTACTCCTGCCACCTCTTTGATGTGAAGGCGGGGTTTGTGGGGGCAATCCTGGCTGTTGCCTGCACAAGAAAATACATTCTTAGGTTCTGGATTCAAGAAACTAGGTAGACATCAGAACTTGTTTTTCCCAAATCATTATTGCAACACTATCTACCACTATCTACCAATATATTAAATGTCATTATATGACACGCTATAAATGTAATACACAGAGCAGCCATTTGCAGTTCTACTTACAAGACATATCCAATGCGTCCATCAGCCAGAAGCATCGGCATCATGGCCATTCCAGCGGGAGTTTGACCCGGTCCATACATCAAAGGCTGTACAAGATTCAACTCCAATCATCAGAATCTCAGATAAATATATGGTGAATGTGAGAATAAATCAATGGCACATATTACATTTATCACCTTCCATGTAAAAACACTTAATGTATGTAGCATGATACTGATAAGTTAGATGTACATGACTACTAATGAAATTTTAAAATATACTCCCGGCAGTCTCATTTATAAGACACTTTGAGTATCTTTTATTCTTAATGTGAGAAACAAAATACAATTTTAAAGTGTATTTAGTTGTGAATACTCCCATTTTATTTGTTTTATTTTCACTAGATTCCACCATCCCCGAGTTTAGTGGAAGCATTAATAAATGATATGGATATTTTTGGAAAATAAATTAGCATTAACTAGTTAAAAGCAAATTATACGGTCTGTCTGATTTTGTCGTATTCTCTTATAACAAGGGCAGGAAGGAGTGTCGAACATGTAAAAGAGGTATGCATGCAATAAGACTATAATGTCATTAATTCATAGAATAGTAATTAATGTGACCAGTAACACAACGAAAACCACATTTCGTGTCGTAACAGTTAAAGAATGTCTAATCAAAACATAAAAGCACGGATCACCTGTGCAAGACCAGGAGCACCATATCCAGCCCCAAGTGCACCATAGGGATTACCAATCAAACCATAACCAAGATGTGGCGGATAACTTGGAAGCAATCCTTGATTCTGTATATTTGATACTACAGCCTTCTGATCAGCCTGTGGTTTTGCTAGAGAACACTCTAACATTCGACCTGAAAGCTTAGAATAAACCTAATCAATATTTGCAACAGTTACATAACTTTTAAAATGCATGTATTTAACAAATTCTAATGTTACCTTCTAATTCATATCTTTCAGTATTCTTTAGTGCTTTCATAGCATTTGATCGCTCTGCAAAATGAACAAAGCCGATTCTGTTCTTTTCCTGACCAGATTTTGGTGGTGGAAGAACCACCTTTGTGATCTTCCCATGGTGTTCAAAAAGCTTCTTCAACTGCTCTTGAGTTACATTGTTAGGAAGATTCTTCACATATACTGCCTTCACCTGTTCATGCATGTTTAAAAATTCACTATATTCAATGCGTACAAAGTAATGCATCTAGGATAAAAACGGTTAGAATACTAATTCAATAGCTAGTACCAGTAGTATAGAATCTAGATTTATTAGCATAGTTGAGTGCATGTTATAATATTAGTAATCCATATAATAACTGTAGTAATGTGATTAATAGCTGTTAATTAGTTCTACAGCTAATCCTAGGTTAGTAGTTGGATTGTTAATGCACTCAAGGCCTTGAGATGGACTGTGTCAAAGCTAAAAACACTATTTCTCCCACACACAAATATCTCTCTTCCGGGATCTCTAAACAAGGTATCATGCCTAAGAGTAGTACCATTCTCTGTAACCATATCCAGCCACTGTTCTGCTACCAAGTTTCAAAAGCGTGTAACTTCCCACGGTGTCTCTGTCTAGTGACTCTTCCTATTGTCTGTACACTGACTCTGGCCACAGGAATCCTAATTCCTCAATCTCTGGCTACAATTTCAAGCAGGTTTTCCACCCTCTGACTATAACCCAATCCAATATTAGTGGTTGTGTCTCCTCTGAGCCACAACCACAATCCGGTTCTCGACCATCTCAGTCTTTGATCAACAAAATGAATCAACAAGCATTTTAAAATTGGTTCATACCCCCCAGGCTAACCGGAACAGGTGCTCTTAGGAACCCAAATTCAAGAGAAAATAAAACTGTATTATTAATGGAAAAACTAACTAATACAGAAGATGAACCCCTGCAATCCCAGAGCTAAGCTCCTCAGTGAAGAGACAATTCTCTCTGCCCAAACCATTATGGTTCCTAACTAAATGATTCTCAACCCTTCTCTCTTGCTATCCATATCCTTTATATAACTATCATTCTCATCTAAGTAACTAGCCACATCAGCAAATATAACTCATTCCTCTATTTGACTCATTTGTTGGGCTAATACTCAAACCAAGTACCTGACAGGAGCTATGACCGGTTTGAGCTGTTTGTGGGATCGGATATGTTATAGGACAAAATGACAACTTGGCAGTTCAACAAAACCCGATTGGGTCTCATTAATTTAGTTTATCCAAAAAATAAGTCCATGAAAGAAAGAAAAGAAACACGTGCAGATCCCTTTTCAAGATAAAAAGAGTGCAAGAAAAGAAAAGGTAAAGACAAAAAATGAAGCACGAGAGAAGAAATGATGAATGAAAAGAATGGAGGAAGAAAACATGAATGCTGAGTAAAAATCCTTTAAAAAAATGAGTGCCGAGAGAAAGAAAGAGTGAAAATAACACAACGCATGGAAGAAATGAGGCCCTTCAGTTCTGTATATAACAAGTATTAGAAAGAAGAGTGGAATAGAGTTTTCATTTCTGTGTAACTGAATTCAGTTATTTCTCAAAATTAGTTACAAAAGGTTTCTTGATGCTTTACATATAGCATCAAGGGTAACCTGCTATTACAGGTTAAACTGAACTGGTACTTACACCTGCCAGTCATATATTGATACAAATAGACGCTTGCTGACAGAACATGCTTGATACAAACATGTTAGTTTTCTGCAGTAAATCTCTGAGGTACTTAGTTTGAGTGAGAAGCATAGAACCATTAGCTGACTGCTTAACCTCAATACCCAAAAAATAGTCAAGATCCCCAAGATGCTTGAGAGAGAAGGCAGAATTAAGCTTGTGAATTACCTCATTGAGAAGTGCAGTAGAACTGCCTGTGAGGATAATATCATCTACATAAACAAGTAGATAAAGAGAGTGCCCTTTGGAAAACTAGGTGAAAAGAGAGGTGTCACACTTGCTGGCTTTAAAGTTGAGCTTGAGAAGAGCTGATTGCAGTCTCTCAAACCACTGCCTTGGAGCCTGTTTTAGGCAATATAAGGCCTTGTTGAGTTTACAAACCAAGGAAGAATTGGAGTGAACAAACCCTGGAGGTTGTTCCATGTAAACTTCTTCATCAAGAAGTCCATTAAGAAACGCATTATTTACATCCAACTGTTGAATAGACCATCTGTGAGTAATGGCAATAGTGAGGATGATCCTAATAGTAATAGGCTTAACAACAGGTGAAAAAGTCTCAGTAAAATCCAGGCCATGCCTTTGGTGAAAGCCTTTGGCCACCAACCTGGCCTTGTATCTGTTGATGGTACCATCAAGACTTTCCTTGAGCCTAAAGACCCACTTGCAGCCAATAACATTCTTGTTGGGAGGTAAGGGCACAAGGGACCATGTGGCATTTTTCTGTAAGGCTTCAAACTCATCTTGCATAGCTACCTTCCAATGCAAATCAGCAAGAGCCTGTTTAACAGATTTTGGCTCAGAGTGAGTAATAAGCACCCTAGGGTCCAGTCTAGGCTGAGTGAATCCAGATTTGGCCCTAGTTTTCATAGGATGAGAGTTCTGAGGGATAACAGCCACAGGAATAGCATTAGGAGGAACATGTGGCTCAGGTTCAGTGACTGAAGGTGAGCTGGATGAAGAGTCAGCCTGACTAGAGAAGGTCCCTGAGGAGTTGCTGGCAGCTGTAGGTGAAGAAGCTGCAGAATGACTAGTTGGTGATGAATACCTGGGACAGAAAAAGCAGAGGTGGGAGCATGAACAGGTGAGGTAGTAGGGGAGGCAGGTTGGAGATCATTTGAGGGACTAGGGATAAGAGATTGTGAAGTGGTGATATGTGGAGTAAGAGAACTCAACAGGGGGCTAGAGTAATGAGGTGCCAAGGATGTACTTTGGCTGGAAGCAGAACTAGGTGTGGATGAAGAAAATAAATCTAGATATGGAAATCTAGACCTCATTAAATAGAACATCCTTTGAGATGTACAACCTACCATTAGGAGCCAGACACCTATAGCCTTTGTGAGATGTGGAATATCCAAAGAAAGGGGTATTCTTGAGATCTGAAGTTAAGATTCTGAGAAAGATAAGGTCTTGAGAGAGGAAAACAAGCACATCCAAAAACTTTCAGAAACTTGTAACAGGCTGCTGATGGAATAGAAGGGTGTAAGGAACCTCAAAATTAATGGAAGCAGATGGCAGCCTGTTAATAAGGTATACAGCAGTAGAAAAGGCATAGTCCCAATATGTTAAGGGAAGGGAAGCCTGACTAAGCAAGGTAAGCCCTAAATCCACTATGTGTCAGTGCTTTCTTTCATTGACACCATTCTGGTGGTGGGTGTGTGGACAGATAAGGTGATGGTTAATACCCAACACAGTGAGATATTTGGTAAATGGAACCAGCAGATTGAATAGCCAAACCTTGTCCATTACCAATGTAAATTTGGTCATGGCCTTCAAAGGGAGTCACTTGTTGTAAGTTTTTGCATCACTGGTTACATGGTATGAAGCGCCAGAATCAGGAAACCAGGAACCGGATGGAGATGGTAAAGCATTTGCCACAAAGGTACTTGGAGGTTGTGTGATGTTAGGAGGATAAGGAGACACAGCAGGGGGCCCGGACCACACATAAGGAGAGGCTTGAGGTGGTGCTTGAGTGTAATAGGCATGAGCACCCTGCCATTTGAGGTTGCACATAGTTTGCACCAGTAGGCTGGAACTGATAGTTAAACCTGTGCCAGGACTGTAGTGCAGAATGGCCAGGTTTGGAGCAAACTTGGCACTGTATGTATGAGTTGGAGGATCTGCCACCTCTTCCACGGCCAAATCTACCAACACGGTAACCTTTTCCACCTCTAAAAGGTTGATAATCCTGCACTTGATTAGAGTGACCAGTCTGAGCAGAGGAAGAATCAGTGACAGGTGCTGGAGATTCATCTGTTGTTGGTGACTGAGGCACAACATGAGTTAGGTTAAGAGAAACCAAATCTGGAATTGGCTGCTTATTGAATTTGTTCAAACGCAGCTCATGAGCCAATAGCAGAATTTCAACCTCATCAATGTCCATAACTCCAAATTTGCTTTCAACAACAGACACAACTGGAGCAAATTCAGCAGGCAAGCCTTCAAGGATAACATCAATGTGATTTGACACTGGAATTGGATCACCAATGGATGCAAGCGCATCAACAATGGTACGGATCTTCAGCAGATAGTCTTGAACAGAAAGAGTATCAAGTGTAAGAGCACACAATTCAACACGCAGATGACGTGCCCTAGCACGAGTTTGTTTCTGAAAATAGCTAAAAAGACGATCCCACAGTTCATGAGAGTGAGTACAGCCAAGCACACGTAAGAGAATCTCACTGGAAAGTGTAGATTGAAGCCAGGACAACAGCAAATGATCCTTCTGAATCCAGCTAGAATACGCAGGATTAACAGAACCGGTGCGACGAGCGGCGGTTTCAACGAATTTCGGGGGAACGCGAGCACATACAACCAGATCTGTGAGATCATGAGCATTGGATATACGGTTCTACCTGTTGGCACCAGAGATGGAAGTTCTTTCCATCCAACTTCTGCGCAATCTTGAGCGAGAAGTGCAATAGGCGAGAACCATCCACCATCGGCGAGGGGCCGGCGTCGGTTCAGGCGAAACACGAGCGGAAGACGGAGGCGATTGGGGCGAAGAGATCGCAGCCATGGATCGTCTCAGCAATCTGATACCATATTAGAAAGAAGAGAAGAGTAGAATAGAGTTTTCATTTGCGTAACTGAATTCAGTTATTTCTCAAAATTAGTTACAAAAGATTTCTTGATGCTTTATATATAGCATCAAGGGTAACCTGCTATTACAGGTTAAACTGAACTGGTACTTACAGCTGCCAGTCATATATTGATACAAATAGAGGTTTAGGGTTTAGGGTTTAGGGTTTAGGGTTTAGGGATATACGGTTCTACCTGTTGGCACCAGAGATGGAAGTTCTTTCCATCCAACTTCTGCGCAATCTTGAGCGAGAAGTGCAATAGGCGAGAACCATCCACCATCGGCGACGGGGCCGGCGTCGGTTCAGGCGAAACACGAGCGGAAGACGGAGGCGATTGGGGCGAAGAGATCGCAGCCATGGATCGTCTCAGCAATCTGATACCATATTAGAAAGAAGAGAAGAGTAGAATAGAGTTTTCATTTGCGTAACTGAATTCAGTTATTTCTCAAAATTAGTTACAAAAGGTTTCTTGATGCTTTATATATAGCATCAAGGGTAACCTGCTATTACAGGTTAAACTGAACTGGTACTTACAGCTGCCAGTCATATATTGATACAAATAGAGGCTTAGCTACTTATTTATTCAATAACAAGAGATAAAAAAGAGGTATAGTAATGTATGCATAATTGTTAACTCCTGAGTTAACATGTCCTGTTATGGACCTTAAGAAATTAAATCTATAAAATGAAAGAATTTAAAAAACAAAAAGCTCTTTCCAGCTGTATAAGAGTGTGTTGCTACAATAAATGAAAAGCGGGAAAGAAGGCAGGCGCTAGGATCAATCCAACGCAATGCTGTTAAATAGTGGTTCTAATTTGAACAAAACACTATTGATTGAGGATGCTCTTCGCTATTTTGTTTAAAATGTTGTCAAATAGCAGCACTATAGCACTGTTGCGCAGCAGAATTTTAGAAAACCGATATTTTATGCAATGCATGGTTGACAACATTGATCCAGCGTACAAGGACCCATAAAAGTACTAGAGCCGCTACACTAAATATTTTCTTTAGCGTCTGAATTTAGTATATTAGTTCATGTGGTTATACTCTGACTCAGTAGCCTGACTGAGTCAATGGCCTAACCTAGTCTTAGAATACTAGAACCTACCATTGGAATAAGAAGTCCTCATCTGTAGGGGGCCAAGTATTGGAAAAGAACTAGCCAGAGATGACGGCATGTGAAGACACATCAGACATCCCCTGCATACAAGACCACCACAAACTGTATGACTTTAAGTTTACTTGTTAGTCACCAACCTTAGTTTCTAGTGTGAGGCTTTGAGCCATTCTGCCACACTTTACCATCTTTGGAAATGTTCATTTTAAACTGTAGCTGTCTCAGAAGGTTACTAATTGATGTTTAATTTGGATAAGGGTGGCTTTGCGGTATTAATGTTGCATAGTCATATCAGTGTCCTAATGTTGCATAGTCATATCAGTGTCCCCTTTCTTATGTGGGTATTCCTTTCAGTAGCACCGCCTTGTGTATTTAGTTTATTAAGGGAGTGTTCCTAACAGATAAGCAAAGGGACAGGAGAGCTTTACTGTTTGGACTTGTTCATATGTCATTTCAATTTCTTTTACATGCCTCAAATACTAAGGGTTTCTTAGTCTCCTCTCTTGTTGTATTATTTTGTTTTACTAATATTGATTTGTTACTTCTATAAAAAAAACACTAACCAATGAATGAACACAGTTGTTGTACTCTTAGGTGACAACAGCAAGTAGGTTATATAAGTGAATATTATGTCGGAAACAGTTCCTTTCTTACTAGGAGATACATTTTCCGTTTAATCATTAGAGTATTTAAGAATTATAGAATATAAAATGTGAAAAAGAACGTAGGGGTACTTTTCAAACCAAACAAATCCCAGAAAGTCAAATATCTCAAACAATCCCATGATTTCCGTTTTATCAGGATTATTGTTATAAATAATGCTTTAATAACTAAAAACCTAGAAAGCAGCACTTGCACATTCAGACATCGATGCATTAAATTATGGGTTCTTGTCTCCTTCATAATTGGAGATGTTTTATTATAATAAAAAAATTATTTTCATATTAACCATAACTATCAACACATCTTAAAATAAAGAAGACATGTGAATTGAAACCTGAGATGAGGCAGAGGAATCAGAATTTTTAGGGTCAGCCCAGCTCACTGTTGGGGAGTTGTCACCAAGCTTAAATGTTGGGTTCATCATCTTTTGTCTCGAATATTCAGCACATGCATTATTATAATAGTCAATAAAAGCAAAACCGCGGTTATTGATTATGTTCTTCATATCCTGAGTCAAGGGAATGAACAGAGTACAGTTAATTAAGAAACTGCATATCCTGACTTAAAGTACTTGCAGTTGTGCATGATGCCAATGCAGCTCCATAACAATAGTTTAAAAAAAACAATCTAACCATAACAAGTAAACACTAGAAACTTTCAATTAAAAATGGAGTAGGAATGCACAACATCTTAATTCATACCTTGACTAGTTCAACAGCGGTAACACCAGGTCCAATCTCACTCACAACCTTCTTTAGATCTTTATCGCCCCAGCTTCTAGGAATATTGCCAATAAAAAGACGATTTTTTGCTTGAGATGTAGAACATCTTATTTTTTTACCCTGAGACAATTGATCATTGATAGTCAGATTGAATACATCATACCAAATTATACTAAGTGTTTGCATGAGGCATCTGAAATTTTTGAAATATTAGAGTTGAATTGAAGCCAAGTAGCTACCAACTTCAAAAAAGAATGATCTATAGTGTTAGAAACTGAAGTTATTACATTACCTTAAATTCAGTATTATTCAGATCCTCAATGGCTTTAGAAGCCAGTTCTTCATTTTTAAAAAGCACAAAAGCGAAACCCTTATTCTCCGAAGAATCTTTTCCTTTCATTATTCGAACCTGTTCTCACCAATCTTTAAGTCAATGGGTGACATTGTATATAAACATACACATACGCAGAACAATAAAAGATGGCACAGGCATACCTGTACAACTTCCCCAATACGCTCACAAAAATCTTTCAAATCTTCCATTAAGGCATCAAGAGGAATGCCACCTATGTAAACTTCAGACTTGTGAGGAGGAAGAGAAAGAAGTTCAGCATGTTTCTTCTTCTCATCATCATCAATGTTCGTGTCTTCTTCCACTTCCTCCTCCTCCTCCTCCTCCTCCTCTTCCTCTTCTTCCTCTTCCTCTACCTCTACCTCTACCTCCTCTGGGTCCTCCTCTTCTTCTTCCACCTCCTCTTCTATTTCTTCCACTTCCTCCTCTTCTTCTACTTCTTCATATTCAATCTCTTCTTCCATTTCTTCCTCAGGTTCTTCTTCAAGGTTGACCTTCTCATCAGATTCAACTGGCTTTTCAGGCTCAGATTGCTTACCAATAACTCTTGAAGAACTTGGCTTTTCCACTGGCATCTTACGAAACTAATTAAACAAGCTTGTGAGGCAACTATGAAGAAGGCACAACGGCCAGAAGAATTCATGGGAAGAACTATACACATATCGAAAGGATGAAACAAAAAGAAAGGCCAAAATTGGAGCCGTTGCATTGAATGAATCTCAGTGGAACTATGCAACGAAATCAGACTTATAGAGAGGGCTATTTACAAAAGGGTCAAATGATAACAAAATAGCAGCATTGAAAGGCAAGTCGGAAAGAAAAAAAACAAAAAGCAAAATGAAACGAATTGAAACAACGAAGATGGTCAAAAGGAGAGTTCAAGAGGCATGTTAATGAGCACAAGCTCTTGAATAACAATAAGTCAAATGGAAATTGCACAAGCATCAAAATGCAAAAATGAAAACTTTTTCAGTCAAATGCAAACAGAGATACAAATTAAGTTGTGAATTAGGTATTAAAAGGACTAAAGAACAAAAAGGAGTGTGGGAAATCTAAATCAAAAAAAAAAAAAAAAAAAACAATAGCTGTTTCCAAACAGAATGTACCAAACTCTGCACCCTCTCCTGCCACACAAATTTACAAACATGCATTGAGATAGGGTTTATATACACTTGTACTAGCTAATAACACAGTTTTTTTCATACAATTCAGATTAAGAGACAAATTCTTCAATTTATACATGATTAAAGAGAGTACCTTAGGGGAAGGGGTTGAAATTAAGGAATGGGAATTGGGCGAAGCGGAATGAAAAGCGAGCGTTGTTGAAATCCAATGCAAATCTACGAATTTTCACTGTTGGGATTTGGATAGATAGAAGCAAATTGAATCTTTGCGAACCCTAAATTTGTGTTCCTCGCAAAAGAGAATTTTGTTGATACTCTGAATTTGAGTTTTCGATTTTATTTTCTTGGTTTTTTGGAAATTACGATATCAGCGCGGGTATTTGTTTTTCCATTCCGAGAATTGAAGGCGGAATACCCTTGAACGAGGGGTATTTCTGTAAACGACTATGTGGATTTTTTTTAGTGTGAGGTAAAAAAAAGGACATGTAATGAACTAATGTAAAAGTAAGAGAGATAAAAAATATGCAATTTCCTTCCACCTTTCACTGAAGTTGAGTAATAGTTAGCGAATAACAATTCTAGAGACAAGACTTCCTCCAACATAAAGACGATATCATGGACAATATCTGAGTGTTTCCTTTGTCTTCAAATAGCAATTGTCTCGGTTGATAGCATTGCATGGATATTAGTCGTAGGGTTATAGATTCCAACTCGCGATACCTTATGTAGGGACGCATCAAAAGTATATACTTTAGTGTTTTCTTTATCTTCAAACAGCAATTGTCTCGGTTGATAGCATTGCATGGATATTAGCCGTAGGATTGTAGATTCCAACTCGCGATACCTTATGTTGGGACGCATCAAAAATATATGTATATTGTTGAACAAAATCTTAAATCAATAGAAAGAATTATCCGAAGATGCATTTACGTAAAGCTTTTGCAATTGCATCTTCGTAAACACCCCAACTTCAATGTATGTATTGCTATAAGATCAAATATCAATATGCCAAAATTGAATTTAGACAGCGCCACATAGACAGTGCTTATGCCCTAAGCGCTGCTATAGGTTTTCAGTAAAAAAAATTAAAAAATTAGAGTAAGCGCTGCTAAAGGTATACTATAGACAGCGCTTATTATAAGCGCTGCTATAGGCCTTACCATATACAGCGCTTTCTTTCCCTAAGCGCCGCTATAGGTTTTCAGTAAAAATAAATAAAAAAATTAGAATAAGCGCTGCTAAAGGTTATACTTTAGACAACGCTTACTAAAAGCGCTGCTAAAGGTGTTATTCTAGGAAGCATTGCTAAAGCCTAAAGCGCTGCTAAAGGGTATACCTTAGACAGCGCTTTCCAGAAGCGCTACTAAAGGGTATACCTTAGACAACGCTTTCAAGAAGCGCTGCTAAAGGCATTACTCTAAAAGCGTTGCTAAAGGTAATACCTTTAGCAGCGCTTCTTGAAAGCGTTGTCTAAGGTAATTAAATAGTGTCTAAATCCCTAAATTGGTTATCAGATTTCAAAAACCCCACATTATACAAATGAAACCCCACACACCCAAAAAACGCTCATGTTCATCTTCTTCTCCAACTCGTCTCCTCCCTCCTCACCGTCCAACTGTGGTTCATGCCAGAAAGCTTCTGATTTGTTGTCTCGTTTCAAACTTGGGATTCTCCGGTTATACGAGGGCAAGGGCCAGAGGCACGTGAGGGTCATAGTGCGGCTGTTGTTAGGAAACGGCTTACAACATCAGGCACACCACTATCTCCTCGTGATAGAGAAACTGATTCAAAAACAGTGTGAGCCTTTACCTAGAAGAAGAAGTTTCGCAAAATCGGTTTCATCTAAGGTAAAATTTCTTCATCCTTTTCTGGTTTCACTATGGAAGCCTGTTAGTAATAAAACAGTGAATTGGAATGGTTTTAACTGCAAGAGTTTCTAGTGTTTGAATGGTAGGAAACTGAATAGAGATTGTGTTCATTGCTTTGATTTGGTTAATGGATATGAGAATCAAAGATTTGTTAAGTCTAAGAGTAAGAATGGTTTTCTTGTTGATGATGTTTTTCAATTAGGAAATGGTGGGATTAGAATAGGTTTTGATATTGGAATTGGTTCGGGGTCTTTTGCGGCGGTTATGTCTGAGAGGAATGTTACCGTGATTACTAGTACTCTTAATGTTAATGGTCCTTTCAATGAGTTTATCGCGGCGAGAGGACTTTTTCCGGTTTACTTGAATTTGGATCATAGGTTTCTGTTTGTTCAATCTAGTATTCAACTTAGTAATACTAAAAAATAACACAAATCATGAATCTTCGAATGAGTTCACAACTAAGCTAATGTCTCTAAAATTGTAACGTTGACGATCATTGATTGAATATGTTATAGGACCATAACAGTAACATGAACTAGGCCTCTAAGGTTGGACCACATTCGTGGCTATGCTCCTTTCACTCACACATTACAATCCTCATTTTTAGAATTGTTCTAATCACATGTTTAATTTTTGTTGACAACACAGACTCTTTAAATTCATTGTACTCCCACCACATTGCTTATAATCCAAGTTAGTAATAATCAACACGAGAGGTTCACGTAACAATGACATATTCACTTGAATAATAAAATCCATGTATACTTTGTGTTTTGGCAGAAACGCATTATTACCGTTTTGTGCCCTAATTAGTGTTTTTGTTTAACTTAGATAATAGTTAAAACCATGGATAAAAAATGGATGTGTGCCGATCGATTGTCAAAAGAGTACGAGAATGGGGTATTAGAGTTCGTTAAGTTTGCTGTTGAATATGCTGAAGACCCGAATATAATGAAATGTCTTTGCTTGGGTTGTTGTTATGTGGGTCGGGTTGATGCAGATGGATTGAAATCGCATTTACTAATGCGCGGAATTGATCGAAGTTATACGTGTGGGATATTTCATGGTGAGAAAAGCATCAAGAATGTTGAACCGGGGGTGAAAAGTAATGTGACCTATGTTTCGTACGACAATGCCACTGATACATATGATTGTGATCGAGTCGAAGAGATTGCATAAGCACTTGAAGAAGATCTTCAAGATTGTCCCAAAATGTTTGAGAGGTTGGTAAGCGATGTGGAGAAACCGTTGTATAAAGATTGCCCCAAATTTACAAGATTGTCTGCGGTATTAAAATTGTACAACTTAAAGGCGCGCAATGGATGGTCGAATAAAAGTTTCACACAATTATTAGCCCTTTTGAGAGATATGCTTCCTGAGGATAATGTTCTTCCTAATCGAACCTAAGAGGCCAAAAAAATGTTGTGCTCTATTGGCATGAGCTATGATAAGATACATGCATGTCTAAATGAGTGTATTTTGTTTCGAAACAAATATGCATCGTTGAATGAGTGCCCAAAGTGTGGTTTATCTCGATATAAGAAAAAATTATCTCCAGCGAAAGTCTTATGGTATTTTCCTATTATTCCGAGATTTAGACGCATGTTTCGTAGTGAAACCGATGCTAGACACTTGACTTGGCATGCAGATGAAAGAATTATCGATGGAAAGTTTCGACATCCGGCAGATGCACCACAGTGGAAGAAAATTGATAATGATTATCCTGATTTTGGAGGAGAAACAAGAAACCTTTGCTTGGCATTATCTACTAATGGAATGAACCCGCATGGTCTTCAAAGCATCTCACATTCCACATGGCATGTAATTCTTATGATTTATAACCTACCTCCATGGCTATGTATGAAGCGCAAGTACATGATGTTATCTATGTTAATTTCTGGGCCTAAACAACCAGGGAATGACATAGATGTATACTTGAAACCTTTAATCGGAGATTTGAAGATTTTGTGGGAGAACGATGTGGAGGTTTATGTGGATATAGGAAAGAAAGTTTCAATTTGAGGGTGATGTTGTTTGGCACAATTAACGATTTTCCAGCATATGGAATTCTATCCGGGTATAGCATTAAAGGTGAAAAAGCGTGTCCTGTCTGTGAAGATGGAACCGATACGACACGATTGAAACTTTGTCAGAAGAATGTATTTCTCGGTCATCGTAGATTCTTAAATTCAAAACATCAATATCGTGGATGGAGAAAATCGTTCAATGGAAATACCGAACAACGTAGAGCTCCACCTGGATTGACAGGTGATCAAATTTGTGAAAAGGTGAAAGATGTGAGTATTCAGTTTGGCAAGCCTTTTGCATATAAAGTTGTCACAGGTGGGTGGAAGAAGAGGTCAATTTTTTTTGAATTGCCATATTGGAAATCTTTGTATGTAAGACATTTTCTTGATGTTATGCATATTGAAAAAAATGTACTTGAAAGTGTTATTGGTACGTTACTCAATATAAAAGGAAAGTCTAAGGATGGCCTTAAAGCAAGAGAGGACATGGTAGAGATGGGAATAAGAACTGAATTAGGACCCGTGAAGAAAGGAAGATGAACATATCTACCACCTG